GCCCAGCCAATCCCCAGCCAACACACAGCCCAGCCAATCCCCAGCCAACACACAGCCCAGCCAATCCCCAGCCAACACACAGCCCAGCCAACGCACAGCCCAGCCTGCTGAGGGTGTAAGCACAGCACTGTCATCCACTGCGGCCACACCTTGGCCAACGCACAGCCCAGCCTGCTGAGGGTGTAAGCACAGCACTGTCATCCACTGCGGCCACACCTTGCTTTCCCAAAAGCAGCACCTCCTACGGCCCTGCAGGGGCTCGTCAGAGACGCAGAGCAAACCAGCGTGTTCATGACCAGTTATCATATGTGACAGTGTTACACTAGCAGTGCCGGTCGGAGCCCATGTGGTGCCCTAGGCGAGCCCCATCACCAGCGCCCTGGACGTGCAATTTCCTACGATTAAAATTAAACTGATATGACCTATTTTTTTTTTGGGTCACACCACACAAATCTACTAGTATCCTTGAAACCTTTCCCCTTCCCCTACGTTGCGTAACTGTTCTCTGTGGACACTGCAGGGGGCGCCAGTACCTCTAGGGGACACAAGTGAAACCAGTCGCTTGCTATGTGGCAGCCTGTGCCGCTGTCCATGTCACCGATAGGCCAGACCGGCTCTGCAGGCTGAGACACGATAGCAGGCAGCCCGCAAAGATAAATCAGGAGAGAAGGCCGCTTTACTCACGGTCTCTGCGGAGCGGTCTCTCACGTCGTAGACCGTCAGCTTCAGCACTGTGTCCTCGCAGAGCGGATAGTCTGGAGGGAAGGTCACCCCCGTCAGGAAGAGCGGGTCCCTGGTTCCCTAAGAGAGGGAGGCAGGCAGGGCAGCGGCTGAGGTGGGGTAATGACTGTGGTGGGTGGGGTTTGCCACGTCAGAGAGCCCATCGCCCGAAAACAGGAGGTGTCAGAGCTCAGGGACACAAGGACCTTTAATCACTCTCTGCTCTTAAATAAATAGTTTTTTTTATTTATGGGGGTGTCCAATAGTCATAGCTAACTGAGTCATCCTAACCAACCCCCCCTCCTTTAAGCACCCCTGCCCAGGACAGTGATTTACATTCAGAGTTTATAAAGGACTGGTTTTATCTTCTCAGTCGACTGAAAATATGAGTAAAATAATCAAATAAAATAATCTTATTGTGCAGCACAAGAGTCACTGCTGTGGGACCCCAAGCAGTAATGTCCTGGGGTTTTGCATTCGGGGCAACAACCTATCTATATTTTCCCCCAGGCTTGTAATTAGCCTCCTCTCGTTAATGGGACTAATTATGTTTTATGGGCAGAGTAAGTGCCACAGAGATGGGTGCTTTGGAGACCCTGATGGATCCAGCTCATTCAGGCCCCACCTCCAACTCCTCCCACTCTGCCCTGATCCCAATCTAACTCCGCCCTAGTCCAGCATGACTCCGCCCTAGTCCAGTATGACTCCGCCCTAGTCCACCCTAACTCCGCCCTAGTCCAGCATGACTCCGCCCTAGTCCACCCAAACCCCGCCCTAGTCCAGCATGACTCCGCCCTAGTCCAGCACGACTCCACCCCTGAGCCTGCCCCCATGTCCCTCATAGTTCCACAGCAATTACAGGTTGTTCTGCTAAGTTGTTTATTTACTTGTGTCACTTATGATGATGACACCAACCGTCCTCCGGGATGAGCCCCCCCCCCCTCACACACACACCTTGGTAAACATCATTGCAAACAGGAGAATCTGTGGTAGATGAGAATCGAAGCTGGGAACTGGTCTGTGGCTCAGTGGGCTAGGCCTCTGTGCTTGCAACCCGAAGGTTACTGGTTTGAATCCTCTTGGTGGCGGAATAATCATACAGTTATCAGGCCATTAATCTTCCCAAAAAAGGCTCCAGGGTAGCCAGATAACAGACCCCATACTGGAACCACAAACCTTACCTGTTCCTAAAAAGGAGAAAAAGTTGGGATATGCAAAAAGAACAGAATTCTAATGCACTTTGACAAATAAACCGTCACACGCCTTATGAAAGGTAGAATGATCAGTCAGACACAAGCAAAAAGTTTACATCAAAAATCCTCCTGTTATTCCCAGAATATCCTCTTAAGCACGTTAAACACTCCCTAAGCTTTCCATTTGCGCGGATGTCTGGCAGAAACCCAGCCCTACCTGCGGGGGGAGCCGCACTCTCTTTGTGGGTAAGTGTGGTTTGCTCAGAGCGGCACCATCGCGCGCGGGCAGCGGCTCGCAGACCCTGCGCCTGCCGAAGCGCATGCACCAGTCCAGTTTGCCGGGCATTAGTGCGGGTCCTCGGTCCACGGGCAGAAATCAAAGCTTGATCATTTCAGACTCGGAGCAAAGACAGGGATCCTGGGCGTCCCGGCGGGTCCCGGGGCAGGAGTATGCCACGTTCCGAGAGGACCGCAGTTTAAACGAAAAAACAAGCAAAGAACACTCTGGAAAATTAAACCAAGGGGAAATAAGTCCGTCTTTGTCAGCATGGAAGTGAGTTAACCTCCGCCTGCCGGGAAAATTTAATCTTGACAGGAAAAGCGGTTTCCAGGCGGGGAGGGGCGTGCTGCTCCCCCCGAATGCCTGTGGTCTGGGTGGTTGCTGGCAGAACGGGGGCTAAAACAGAACAGCAGAGGAGTGCCCTGGGTGGGGGGGGGGTAGGATGAGAGCTTACCTCGACGATCTCCGTGCAGGAGTAGGCGGCCAGGCTCCGCTCTAGCGTGTTTACCACCGAGACCTGCAGCATGCTGCTGGGCTTCCTGTCCCGTGCTGGGCTGGCCAGGTTCTGACATGCTGAAACACACAAGACACCAGAGAGGTAAGCAAAGCAGCTCCTAGTGCAGCCAGGGCTCGGGGGCCGCCTCGCATGTGAGGAACAAACAGAGCGCATCACCACGCCATCAGGGCCGCCTCGCTCTGTCTACTGCGTCTTCCTAACCCTCTCGCAGTAAAGGTGCCATCTTTATTAGTGTTTAATCTCCATCAGCAGAACTGGCCTTGCTTCCTATTACAGGAAAGCACTGCCCCGCTTCAGCTGGCTCTGGAGAGGAAGCCGACTTTCCTTCTCAGTGCTGATATACTCAGCAGACTCTCTGAGCTCCGGGGCCATACGGAGAGCCCTGCCTGCAGAGCCTGTATGCACACGGAGAGCCCTGCCTGCAGAGCCTGTATGCACACGGAGAGCCCTGC